ATGCAACAGAAATATGAAAAGCAACTCACCGCCGCATGATGATGGGTACTTCATCATCTTCTTCATCCTCAGCCAAGGAAACCAGAGCACCTGCTAAAAAAAAGGATAAAAAGTAATCGGATCATGAGAGAGACAAGAAAATAAAAGAACAAAGAGCATTAAATGTGCTCACCTAAGAGCATGCTAGCAACAACTGGAGTACCTGAGAGAGTACTTGGTTTGCGAGGCTTCTTGGAGACAGGCAGGCCAGATGAAGACCCATCCGTTCGCCCCCTCTTCGGGACACTACGAGGACCGCGAGGGACTAGACGAGGAACATATTCTTCATATACATCAACAAATCCGGAAGAAACCCCAGGAAGGGCGGTAGAGGTTTGGGACTTACTAATTGCAGAAGTTCCAGCAAGTCTATCTCCGATCTCCGCCACGGCGAAAAAGCGTCGAGAGAGACCGGGTCGACAAAGTTCCGCCCAAACTCCTGCGAAAAAGGATAAAACACCGAGACAAAGAAAAGCTAAGCAAGAACGAATGCAGCTAGAGTGCATAAAGTACTCAAACAAAAAGATAGACAACTCACAGCTGGGGGCGGGTTGTTGGCTGAGAACTCGGTGACAGCAGGAGGAATGACGCTCACCCCTTTCAAAGATCTTCTTCACAAGACGCCGAGTACCTCCTCACCGGTCAGCTCAAGAGCTGGGACCATGCGTGAAGGATCCTCGGCCCCAGAATACTCAAAGCCAAGATGCTCCCGCTCTTTCAAAGGCTGAACCCGGCGACGAAGAAAGCTCGAAACAATACCAAAGCCGGTCAAACCCTGCTGCTTCAGCATGCTAATCCTATCAAGGAGTGGCTGGATCACTTGAATCTCAAAGTAATTCAAGTTTCTTGTCCCATCGGTCATTCACCACAGACCAGATCCGGGATGAATGGCAAGGAAGGATTAAATTGGCGGCAGAAAACCACTTTCAACACGCCAATCTTTTACTGAAATCGACCAGTCATAGTCAAAAACTTAATTTTGAGACCACGATGAAATGGATCCAGTAACATAAGAACGCTTGGTTTCTTCACGGCGGGGTTGAGGTTTCGAACGAAAAAGAAAAGCGAAAAAGAGACAGAGAAGGAGGATTCAAGGAAAGCTTCATAAAGATGAACGAAAATAGAAAGATGGAGAATGGCATTGGGGGTTAGGTGGTTCAGACTAATCCCAAAATAACCAAGAAACTGATGAAGGAAAGCGGAAGCGAGAAGGCAAAGTCCGTAGCGGACAAAAGAAACGAAAAGGACAACCTCACCAGACCCGGGCTGGAACCCGATGCTCGCCTGAACTCTCCATTCAAATGATGACTTTGCTTTGGATCAAGCCATCGCTAACGAGCTTGCAGTGGTCTTCGTTGTTGTTGGAGCCGGCCAAACCTTACGAGAAAGCAGCCCTCATAGCCACGAACTCCTGGTTTTCGATCAAAGAAAGGATGACTCCTCGTCTCTGAAGGTCGCTTTGAGACTTGCTTGCGGTTTTCTTCTTTCCCATGAACTGGCGGGAAGCAAAAGAGGCGCTAAAGAAGATGTAGGATGATGGTGCTCGGAGATACTGGCGACAAAGGATTTGCCAATGGCGGATTTCTAAAAGCTAGGGTTTAAAGGCAAGAGTTGGGCAAAGAAAGGGTCTTTAAATAGGTTTCTCAATGATACAAACGGCCCCACAAGGCCCGATAAAACACAATGTGGGAACGCTGACGGTCCATTTACCGACGCAACTAAAACGATGGAGGGCACAAATCCACACAACAAAGACAAACCAACGGGTAGATTTCAGACTTATCCGTCCAAAGACTACTAGCGGGGTTATCGGATCGCTACAAGAACAACTCGTCAAAACAAGAAGAAAGAAAGAAGAAAGAAAAGGCTACCTCACAAGGAACAAAAGAACCCAGTTATTTGAGAAAGAACCCGGTAATCTCATGGACAACGGGGATCGCAACAGAAAAGTAAAAGACAACTCAGAAGATAAGATTCGTTACATTACAAGCAGAAGATTACAAATCTTAAAGACAAGATTTGTTACATTACAAGCGACTTCAAAAATAGAAGATTACAAATCTTACAAGACCCAACGAACTTGGCACCATGAAAAGCAAGGTAGCAAAGAGGAACGCGGACACGGCTAGGCTCTGAAGCGACTCGTGTCCCAAATTGCTACTCGGAAGGACAAACCGCCATCAACTACACTGCTTTTCTTCAAAGGAAGGACGCAGAGTGCACTCAAAGCGGAAATCGGCAAACATGGCGGGACAACATGGAGCGAGAGGCATGGGCATCTGTCTACCCAAGACCGATGTGATATCAAGCATATGGTGTTGATCTGCACGACGATCTCAAGACAGTAACGAGGATCAACCCGAGCGGCCAGATGAAGAAACGCAAGCCCACATCACAAGACTTCCTCCAACTACCACCACATACATCCTCGGCACAATCTTTGTCATGGATTAGCCTACCTCTAATCCCTATCACAAGACTTCCTCCAGCTACGACAAGACACACAGGAACTACAAAATATGCCTGGGGGCTGCTCTACTTCACAAACTACCATGCTCATGTCCACGAAGGTTTCAACGGAATATCCAATAGATGAAAACAAGCACTCCGGGACAGTATTTATAGACCAAAGGAACGGCGCACATGGACCAGGAGTACCAACGAAATAAGCCTGAGAAAGGACACAGTGAAAGGACAGGGCTCAATAATGGACGACTCAGGCGAGAGGAAAACAGTACTCGAAGACGGGCATATTCGGAAGAATATACCATCACAGTACAACCCGTGAACAAAAGGCATTTACACTCAACCACCACCATACAACTACATCTGACAGCAGCAGACTATCAAAGAATACGCCAAGACCTCGCATCCGATTTCTTCCTGAACAAAACAACACGGATATACACTCGGGAGCTCGGCCAGCATCATAGCTTAATCAACACTAAGCTAGGGAATTCAACCCTCATTTCAACTACTCCCGGGGGCTCAGAACCAAAGACAAAAGACAAAAAGTACAAGAAACTCAAGACTACAACGACGATGACGCATCAAGACTCTTCAACCGACTTCTTTTCCAAAAGAAAAGAACTCGGAGAAAGCACGAGGCTGCGGGCACGAGGCTGCGGGATACATAGCCCCAGAATTTTTTGAAGACAGGAATCTGGACCCTCCAACTTTTGCAAGCAAAAGCAAGAGGCTCGGGGGCTACACTCAGTGAGTGCAATTTTATGAAAAATTGCACCCACCAAAAAAGAACCCTTGATAGGCTCGGAGAGGTCGCGCCATGAAACTACTCGGATGATGGTTTAATCCAAGACTAAAGGACCGCTTGGAAAGATACCACGAAACTACTCGGATCTTTGGTTTAATCCAAGACTAAAGGACCGCTTGGAAAGATACCACAAAAACTACTCGGATGATGACAAAATTCAAGTCTCGGGGACTACTTCGGAGCACAGATTTTCAAACAAACATAAAGGATCAAGACCCTCCAACTTTTTGTTCCAAATAGCAAGAGGCTCGGGGGCTACACTCAGTGAGTGCACTTTTTCTCCCAAAAAGCGCCGTCACCAAAAAAGACTTCCTCAACGCAGACCACTTCAAGACATTACGACAAAAAGAACCCGGAACGAGCCATATTCGAGTTCTTTTTGACAAAACTTCAGCGAACAATCAGAGCAACTTCAAGAAAAGATCCTCCAGCTCCTTGTTCCAAATAGCAAGAGGCTCGGGGGATACAACCAGATGGATGTACTTTTTCTTCACAAAACACTCACCACTCGAAGGTCCCAAGAAGCGCTATAAGGTTTCACTCCAGAAAGCACTCGGATAACATTTTGTTCCTACCTAACAAGACCTGAAGGAGCAAAGCGAGACTTTCAGAGCTCAACCATGAAGTGCTCGGGGGCTTGTCGATGTGGGACCTACAGGATACCCCGCAAGAGAGATAAAAGATCTAGTTCAACTAGGATTCTTCCCATGGAATTTTAAATAGAAGAACTATTAAGTAATCCTACTAGGAAATCTTATTGTAAACCGACTAGGACTCTGGCCTCCTGATAATATAAAGGAGGGCAGAGCCCCTGAAAGAGAGAACAACAATTGTACAACATAACACTTCATAATCAATCCAATGCAAAAGGCAAAACGCCGACTGGACGTAGGGTCGTTACTCGATCTACGATCGAGGGCCTGAACCAGGATAAATCGACTGTCTCTTACGTTTACCATCGAGTTCAGCATACGCCGAAGCCCGAACGATACTGCCACGGTACCCCTATGGCAGGCTATCGGTGGTAAAACATCGACAATCATCACAGACCTCATCCTAACAATCAGCACTATAGTTTAGTACCCCAGTGGTCTTATAGCAAGATAAATAACATAATCAGTATATCTACCAAAAAGTAACAAAATGCAGCCAAATCCCGCATTGTGCAATAACTGAACACCCCTGACGAACTAACCAAGTATCCAAACCTGCTTGTTGAACAAACAGTTGAAGGACATGAACTAAGAAGAGTCTACGCAATGCACCCGATTCAGGTTGGTTGAGCAGCCCACTGATCACTAGCACAAACATAAACCAATCCATGTCATTCCTTACCCGCCTTCCTGGCCAAGCATGAAAATAACAAAAACCATGTCCTGAAATTTGCATGCCAAACAAGCAAAACGACAATAGCTGGCAGATGAACATAGCAACAAACGATCACACCACTGACTTGGCCAATCCCACAGGGACCATGACAGCAGCCCAGCACTACACATAGACATCTATAAACACAAGTTCCATTTTGGATTCCTCACTAATCTAATCACCCAAAATACAAAACCTACACGCAGGCACTCGAAGCAGAGATCAGCCACTGAGTTAGCCACTGTCAAATTCAAACCACGCGCAGCGTAGAAACAGAATGAATCGGCTTCCTCACCGCTTTCGGTCCAAGCGCCGCCATCTAGGCAGGCTGGTGGTACAGCACCCCTGCTGCCTGTGCCTGCAACCTCGTCTGCATCGAGACATAGGAAACGTGTTAGACGCCGAAGCGGACGCACACAAACACTCTCGGGGGAGGAGGAGAGTCCTGCGTGAGCGTGGGAGTGAGTGCCCTAGGGAACCGACCTTGGCAACATCTAGAGGGTTGACGATGATAGCTGAGACGAAGGCGGCGCCGACGGCGGAGAGCGCGCGCTCGAACATCCCGAGCTCCTTGTCCGCCCCCATGGTCGGAGCGGGACCTGAGGAAGAGGGGGATGGAGAGGACGAGCCTTGGTGAGAAGGCGTTACGCCGGCAGAGAGGTCGACCCGCGCGACGGCGGCAGTCATCCCGGTGGGGAGGGAGCCCCGAGAGCAGCCCACCATAGCGTCGGACTGGCTCGGAAACCCTAGGCCACGTCGGCTCCGCTCTCGATCGGGGATTCGGGCGGCGTGGGTGGCGATGCGGCCGCGACTGTGATCCGCCCGCCCTGATGCCGCTCCGCCCGGCCCTGCGCTCCGGCCCACTCCGCGTCCACGTCGCCGCCCGCCCTGATGCCACGACGCTCGCCCCGTGTCCTAGGCCGCTCCGCGCCCACGTCGCCCCGATGCCGCACTTGCTCCACCCGCCTTGATGCCGACGCTGCTTCGAGCTGCCGCACGCTCCGCCGCCTGGAACCGCGCCGCCCTCTGATGCGGTCGGTGTCTTGTGGAGTCGAGAAACAGCCAGAAAGGGATGAGGGGCAGTGTGGGCATTTGAACTTTTCTTTTCAGGTTTGGAATTTTTTTAATTCATCTATTCAATGGACATCTGACGGGCATCCAAAGCAGGGGCAGATGGACACTTCAGTTCAAAATAACAAGGGCAAAAACACAAAGTTAAAAAAATAGGGGCAAAATCATAATTGGAGTACTGAACAAGGGCAAGAACACAATTCTCCCTAAACTAAAAGGTTGTTTACATCACCTTCTCGTTTGGTTAATGGAAGCTCAGATCGTGTTCTTATTTTGGTTTGAATACGATGTTAGTAACTGTTGCATTGTCCTTCTAGAAAAGCAATATGATGTAGAAGTAACTCATGAATTGCATCATGTAAATGATCTAATCCTCCAGCTCTGTAGTGTTTTCTTTTCTGATAAAACAATACTTGTTGATGATGATGGGCTGATGGCAAAGTGGAAGTAACTCATGAATTGTCGACTCTTTTCTTTCTTTTTTTGACATGAAGTCAACCCTATTTCCATTAACAAATAACGGAAATACAGAAGTATTCAGGTTTAGAAAAGGGAGAACAGGAGCCTGGTCATACCGACTAAACCTAGGCATCTAGAAATCTGCTCACAGAGTAGCTCGGCCAAAGAAAAGCCTGCAACAGAACTGGCAGCACTAGCACTCAGACGTCCGTGGCTGCTCTATTCCATCCGCTCAGATTCACGTGCCATCCACGCTAGCTCCGTTTCCCGCACTCGCATCCGAACCACCCGCTTCAAATCCGCTACCCACACTGCTCGGTTGGCTCGCCTTCGCCTCTTACACACCGGCGCGGCGCCCCGCTCTTCTAGGCTGTCCAGAAGACTCGCCCCCGCCTCTTCCACAACAGCACCGCGCGGCCTATGTCTCCTCCCCACACCGCCGGCGGTGCCCTACGCCTCCACCACGCGTCGGTGGTCGTGGCTTGGCCCTGCCCGCACTCATGGACACCAACGCCGACGGTCTGCACTTGCAACATGAAACACTCGAATGCAATATACAGTTGAAACAGATGAAACATTTAGGACATACTCTTGCAACTTGTGTGTGAAACATATGCAACATCTAGATAAAACAATTGTAACATGAAAAAGCCATTTACTGCAATATAAGACTGAAACAGCTAAAATTTTTGGAACATACTGTTGCAATATATGTGTGAAAACATATGCAACATCCAAATAAAAAAACGATTGCAACATATGCCTGGAAGAAGATGAAACATTTTGAACAAACACTTGCAACATACTTCTGAAACACTTACAACATATAAAACATCCTCCGATCTACTTTTGCAACATCTATAAAAAAACTATAACATACCTTTGAAACACCTAAAACATATATTTGCAACATAGGGGAGGGGAAGCCTGGTCAATTCCAGCCGTTGGGGTTGGAGCCGGCGGCGAGCGCAGGCGCACGAGCACCAGCGCCACCAGTACCGGGCTTGGCTCGGTGGCGACGGTGAGGGATGGGGGCAAGGAGCGCCATGGTCGTCAAGGTGGGGGCAGCTCGGTCGCTGGGTTGAGAGGGGGCGTCGCTGGGGTGGGGAGGGCACCACGCTGGGGTGGAGGAGAGCCGCCCACTCCCCTACAAACACCGCTGCATCACCTCCATGGATCTTGCCTTAGGCGAGTGGATCTCGCTCATGCTCTATGGATCTCGTCGGGGTGGGGGAGAGGGCCATCGGATCTACGAACGTTGGAGGCTCCCGGTGGTGGAGGATGCCGGACGTTGGTGCGCTGCGGAAGGGGTAAGGGTGGGAGGGGAGCGGAGCGAAGAGAGGCGTGTGGGAGTTGATTTTGTTTTTTTAGACGAGCGGCGCATGCGGCAGTTAGTGGAGCGAGGCGTCCGGCCTTTCCGACATTTTAATGGTAGTATTACCGCAAAACAAAAGGACATGCCGATTCTTTCCTTGCTTCCGAAAAACGAGCGGAATGAAAATGATCCATTCTCGACGTACGCATGATTACATTATGCGTTTTAGGGAGCTGTTGCACGTGCAATGGGAGGTTCCCGTAAATATACACTACGTACATCATTTGTGGAAACCTACCTATAAATAGATTATTAAAAAAACTCAATCCTTGGTGGCTAGACAACCTCTGGGTATTTCGACCTAAGAAGAAGATCTTCTCATGCAGATCGAGAAAATATTTACACTACATATATATCTTTTTGATTGAACCTTGAGAAAGTTGCTAGGCCAAACAACAAGTTTAGACTTTGGATTTTGGTTGCCTGTGGTAGGATATTACTGCTCAGCTAGGTAAGTTTCTTGGAATAGCAACCAAACAGGCCATAAATCGGTTTATTATTCTAGTTCCTAGGCTCCTAACTTGATGGCGGGAATGCATTCTGTCGGGTTCATAAACCTGGGGTCCCTCATGGATCGGCTTCCTTGCAAAAGCTCAACCCAGCAGGCGACGTTACGAACGCGCAACTCCTGGGCCGGCCCAAATACCTAACAAAAGGATAGAAGGGCGATCCAGTCTTCGATCGGAACGCTTGGCCAAGGAGGAACGGCGCCCGCTTCCGACTCTGGCCCACCTCTCCAACCGAAGGCCTCGCTTCCGACTTCGGCCCGCCTCTCCGACCGGAAGTCCTCGCTTCCGACTCCAGCCCACCTCTCCGACCGAAAGGCCTGGCCAAGGAGGAACAGTGCTCGCTTGCGACTCCGGCCCGCCTCTCCGACCGGAAGGCCTGACCAAAGAGAAACGGCGCTCGCGTATGACTCCGACCCGTGTCTCCGACCGGGATGCACCGAGCCTCTGCTTACACCTCTTCTCCGACTGGCGCAGTCGGAGCCGACTGGGACCAACCGACCGGGGACGCTCACTCGGTGAGGACCTAGGGAACAGGCAGAGCAAGTAAGGAAGGACGCACAAAGTCAACCGCAATACTAAGGACCATACCCTGTACACCTACAGCACATGTCAGAAGGGTGCCCTGCAACCTTCCAGACATGTCAGAACCCAAATAGTGTTGTGGGCGCCGATGTTTTGCCCTACAGTGTTATGGCGCCATCAATTCCCATACCAGGTGAACATGGTAAAACCCCCCACATGCCTCTGGACATCAACAGTATGGTAGGCGCCGACATCTGCCATACCAAAAGAAGACGATGGAACCTCCCACATGCATCTGACATTAACAGTAATGTGAGCGCCTTCAATCATCTTGTACCCGACGACGTGGGTAACAAGACAACATACGTACACTCTCCCTCTCCCTCTCTCTGTCCCCTTCATCTATAAAAGGGGATGCGCTCTCCCCCAATAGAAGGGGGGATTCACGATCCATCAGTTGACAATAACTCGAACAACACACACGATCCGAACAACCAAGGATCCAAACGAACAACAAATGTTCGAACACTTAGCGCACAATGGAGCTCCCGTCACTGTCGGCCCTTCAGACCAGAGTTCGACCGAACCTCTTGCACCCCCATCTTACTCCCTTCCATTTGTAACCCCACAGCAAACTTCGAGCACCTGGGCTCAGGAATAAAGTCACCGACTCGACTCAAACTAGATGAAGGGCACATTGCCTGAACCAATATAAACACTGTGTCATTGAGTGCTAGGCCACATCCGATCAAAACATACGACAAAACTATAAATATTTACGTCTTGGTTACTTTCTGTGCCGATAGTTGGCGCCGTCCGTGGGGAGGACGCTGTACGTTCACACTTTTGGTCATCGGATGGCCCATCTTTCCGCATCTCCGCCATGGCGGGCTCAAGCGATACGACTCGCTTCGGCTCACTGGAGTTTCTCGCACTCCCACCTGTTGGGATGTGGGTTCCACCCATCTTTGAGGCGTCCTAGGCCTTCCTCTTCGAAAGCCTAGACTTCATCGCCGACTGGCTCGGCGTACTGCACCTCCGCAAGGAGGCACTTGTTCCGGCGCCCATCGGAGGGGCGCCCTCCATCGGCTCTGGGACACCCGACGACTTCAACGGTGAGGTGCCTGCGCTTCGTTCCGAGCATATGCTCTGCTCAAACCCCGCTGTGAGTAACATACACTTTGTTATTTACTCGCTATTTACTGTCTTTCACCGATTCTCCGAAGGGACTCCGTTGTCCCTACCATGACCGACATGCGACCGGTTCCCCTACGGCCTCACGTCTCCTGTGGACGCGTACGCCCGGGGGCTCCAAAGGACGCTGGCGCCGCCCCCTCTCACATTCGAATTCGTGGGGATGGCGAGCTACGCTCCCGCCTCTTTTCATGACCTCCTAGATGATGATGTTGAGAGCAACGGCTCCAGCATCAGCGACGTCGTGGCACCTAGCCACCCTCTGTCCCGGGAGTGCGCTATGACGGACGCCCCAGGATAGCCATCAGTGGTAGTGGAGTCTCTTTAGACCCACACCCCTCCGGACCCTCGCGTGGATGCCCTCGCATGTGCCCAGGCGCATGGCAAGGAGCTACAACAAACCAACCACCACCTGCGTCGGCGTGCTCGGCGCACCACGATGCGCCCCGCGCGAG